TCTTTGCCCCCAGTTGCCCGAACTTTTCCAATCTGACCTTCCAGCCTTGCTGGGATTCTGCCCCTGAAATGCAAGAACAAAGAAACCGATATGGATCTTTTTTGATTGATGCTACTGCACTTGGTGGCTGTGCAAAACCCTTCTCTTTAAGCAAACTCATCAGTTTCTGCGCTGCCTCAAAACATGCCCAGTGCTTTTTCTGGAGATTGTCAAAGACCCACATTTTTTCTCTTACCACAAGGGTCCACTGCTTGGGCCCTGCTGCCTGTATGTGATCAAAAAGCTGACGCCAAACTCGGGATGTGGGCGTGCAGCTCTCTAAATCTGGCTCTGGATCCAGCAGCTGGACATGGTCTGGGTTCTTGAGCTGTTCTTGCATGGTGGGTGGCGGTCATCTACCCATGGCCAACCTGATGCTTCTAGGATTTGCCGAAGCTGTTTCCTTGTCACGTAGCTGAAGTTCTTGTAGTTGACTTAGGGCTTCCATTCGGGGTTCTCAATAGCTATGTTGCTGACGTTTGCAGCCGTTTGCAGAGATAGTGCCACTTTGTGGTGTTGCATTGCAATCCTGGGCGGCAGTGATGCTGTCTTGCCATAGTTCTTCATGACAGCTATCAGCCATCTCTCCTATCAGTCCTATCACTCTCACGTGGCTCCCCACCTCTGCCTCGCCTTAACCTCCTCATTTGATGGTGGCTCACTGGGTGGTGGAAGGGGGCGCTTTCTTCAACGTCTTTTTCATTGCTTAATGGTCTTCCTTGCCTTCATGGTCTAACCGTGGATTTCATAGATGGGTCGAACTTCAGGCTTGGTTTGTTTTTCACCCTTTCTTGATTGCCTTTGCCAAGATCCTTTTGCCTAGCTTCTTCTGTTGGCCTTACGAACCACTTCATTCAATGCCACCCTACTGCTCACGCTGCTGAGACGCTTCTTGCCTTAAAACCTTTTTGCTGCTCTCCTTAGGCTTGGCCTCCGTGATTGAGTCCTCACTTCTTGCTGCTCTTGCAAAAGGCTGCTGTACGTTACACCTAGCGTGGCTCTTCTGTTTGAGCTTCTTCCAAGCTGTGGCGACAGCTGGAAAAAAAAGGTTTTATGCGCGGTCTTGATGGCCAAAACTTCCTCCTCATCATGGTGCTACTCTAGCTGCTTTTTGTGGAGTGGCATTGCTCCACTCAATGAGGTCTGCGCTACATCGTTTGAAGGTTGAAACCAGGCATATCCGCGCTGAAGCCACTCATCTGGAAATCTCTGTTGCTCCATCTGATAATCTTTTCCTCTGTCTTGGAACTGCCCTGACGAAGTGGCCCTGTATGCTATCAGCCCATTCCCGATAACACCCTGGCCCACCCACTGAGTCTTCTCATTCATGGCTTGTGTGTAGTCTTGGCTGACACTTGTTGCCCTGATGATTTGCTCATAGACAATTTTATTGTATTAATTTGAATGCGTTGTCAGACCCGTGCTTCTTCTTGCGATTCCACTCTCACGCTGCCTAGCTCATGGGCGAACTAATGCTTGAGTGCTCTTGCGAAGTCTGTAGCTGTCTGTTGCAACTGGGCGGTCATTCCAGGATGTGGACTGACATTTGGTTCATCAGGTGCTCAGCCTGCATGACTTCGTCTGCAAAAACCTTCTGATCGATTCCTCAATGCAGGTCCCCTTATCTCTTCTTCTGACTCTGTAATGTCACAACAGTCATCAGCGGCATCATCATAAGAAAGCCTTGACTGTTTTCCATCATATGCTGGAGGCACCTTAGCCTTAGTCGTCACTTGAGTTGTCGTAGCTATTGCTGCTGGTTCTGGTCTCACATGCCTATTGGCAAAAACAAGCTCGTAAGCCTTATGCCATATCCGCATCCCAGTCATCTGTCCAGGCCATTGCTCAATCTACAGCTAGGACCTGGAGGTCACCTGGGTCTTCTAGGATCACTGCTCCGCTACCACTGACAAATATTTTATCCGAGATGAAAACCAAAATAAATATAGAGAGCTCTTGTAAAATAGAAATAGATGGTGCATCCGGTAGAAACTGAATATGAAATCTATTGTCACTTTATTCTATATTATTATCTGATATTTTGATGGGTGATTTCCTTTTGTGTGAAGAGACATCCAAAACAGAATAAATAGCAGAGATAGATGACCAAAAACAACTATATTAGTTTAATGGTTTTTGGATGGGTCCGTCACTCTCTGATCTTAATCTTTTTCCCTTTAGGATCTTTTTCTCTTTATTTCTTTCTTATGAAGAGATTTCTATTCAATGCAATAGGTAAAATCTGTTGGAAAGGGACTACCGCGTACGCCCTGTGGAGCGCAGGCAAGCAGTGTGGTTTACACGCGAAGCACGAATATATCCCTTGAGCCGAGCCTTGAAGAATTGGCAACAACAGTCAACCCTGTGTGACAGCAGTGTGCTACTTCAGCTCAAGAGCCCACACACAAAAACAACCCCCACCACACCACTGTGTGCTGGATTCCTTCTTTGTAGATTACTGGTTCTTTTCTGTGCGTTTTCCTGAATAATTGAAAAATGTTTACCATTGGATGCCTTGCTAATACAAGTTCCAATCCATGTACTTCTAAAAAAGTAGGGCAATGTGCCCAATACTAAAACAGTTTTCAACTGTTATCAAGACTGTATGTTTGAGGCCACTTCAGATTCAGAACAGCGTCAGTCCGGTGCTGGTGACTCAATGTGACCTTGACTCGATCCAGCTGGCCCACAGGGACAGGACAGTGTCGGTGTTCAAGCAAGGCATTTTGTGTTCAACCTTTCTAGATTGCTGGATCACATTTGCGTGTTTATTTCAATAGGGAGACCTCCCAGGCGTCCTGACCCCTCAAAAGTTATCCCGGCTATAAGAAGAAAGTCTAGAGATCTAGACGCATTGGGGTCCAGAGGGGCGATGGTGGTGATGAAGGTGGGGATCGTGGTGACGGTGGCGGTGGTGGTGAGTGAGTGAGTACAAAGTGCTGCGCCTGCTCCGAAATCTGCACTTCGAGGTTCACCAAGTGCTGTGCCTGCCACGAAATCTGCACTTCGAGGTTCACCAAGTGACGAAATCTGCACTTCGAGGTTCACAAAGTGCTGTGCATGCGACGAAATCTGCACTTCGAGGTTCACAAAGTGCTGTGCATGCCACGAAATCTGCACACCGAGGATCACAGAGTGCTGTGCCTGCCACGAAATCTGCAAACGAGCCACATGTCCAAAAGTCACGATTCACTGCACCTGTCACGAAATCTGAGCTCCTCGACGATCACCATCATGTCCATGCAAAGTGCTGCACCTGCCACGAAAACTGAACTTCGAAGTAAAACAGCTCCGATCCCTTGCACCTGTCACGAAAAGTCGACTTTGGAGCACCAAAACACGAGGTTTCCTTTGCCCCTGCCACGAAAGGTGACCACCATGTGCGAAAATGCCCACGGCACCACAACGAGAGCGCAGTCGCTAGAAGCACCCGCCGCGGGCAGGCAGATTTTGTGAGCCTGCGCAGTCGAAATGCACATTGACGATGTCGAGAGGCATGAATGCACTGTAAATAGCAGCGAACTAGCCGCACACGCCCGCGCGCTTCAGCGATCTAAGCATCAGTTGCTTAACACCTACCGTAAGAACCCCAGTGTGTCCACACTGTTTGGGGGGAAAAATATAGGCCGAGGGTTGCAGGCGCCGCAGCCCGCTCAGACTCTCAGCGCGAGAGGTGCCTTGATGTCATCCTCCCTGTCAAGTCCTCAAATGGCTCTGGGTCAAAACCTGGGTCAAAGCCTGGGCACCCCAGTTATTGAGGCGTCAAATGAACAGATTCCTCTACAAGGGAGTCAACCTACCATGTTTGGTGGGGGAAGTATTGACTTTGACTCGTCATAGTGACAGAATGCTTTGGGACGCCGTTTTCGCGTTTATCTGTGTTCTTTGTCCTTTGAAAAAACCAAGCAAATGTCGGGCCAGGGGAAGTACTTTCAGGGAGGCTTTGGAACATGGCCCTCTGTTTGGAGGACGAAGAGGGTTCCCTTGCACCTCTCCCAATGGAGTCTACCAAATCCGGCAAACTGGTCTGTGAAAGTATTTAAAGTCGTCGACCTTTCCTCCAAATGTTGCTGAAGCTCGGTCCCATCCTCGGTCCACGACCGGTCACTTCGGCCCGAGTGGAACGCGACCGTTTTCCCGGTCCGGGTCCGTGCGTCCCTGCCAAGAGTCCAAAGAAGACGGGTGGAAAGGCATCCATTGTCAGTAAAAGTCTTCTGCAATGTTTGCCACAAATAAGACACTGGAGCCAGCAGCAGCGAGAGACGAGTAGCCCGAGTAGCAGCACGAAAGGTCGAGACTTGGGATGTCCGACGCATCTACGAAACATCCACGACACATTGATGCCCAAGCAGGGCATGTCCAAGCAAGGCCGGCGGACCGGTGACAAAAGCGCCCTGAAAACGTCCCCCCAAGCACCAAGCAAACATGTAGAAAACATGTGGGTTCCACGTACCGCCATGTGGAAACGAAACATTCTCTCACACACAAAAAAGAAACACAGTGGTCTACCAGCACCATTCAAAGCATATGAGTTAGCGTCAAAAATATATGCTTGGAGTGTTTTCGTTTCACTTTTGTCAGTCCCCTATCGTTTTCCATGGTTTTGGATTTTGCAAGTATGTATACATACGGGTATCGTTTTTTGTCAGTCCCCTATCGTTTTTCAAGGAAAATCACGAAAGCAACACAGAGATGAAACGTCCCTTACTAAAGTGGTTGATGATAATTTTGAGGTTGCCTCATATAGATGGAACATGCATCGTCAGGGGGGGTCAAAAACGTCTTACAAAGAACACCAAAAACGTCGTGTGTGCCGGTCTATGTCGGTCATCGTCTATGTCTCGGATCCGACATCCCGACCACACAGACCCTTCGATCAACCTCGGTCTGGTCACCTCTGAAGTGGCATCCAACCTACTCTCCGATGGCGTCAGCCACGCCGCCATGTCCGGCAGCCACGCCTCCTTCGTTGCGGCACCTGACCCCGGCAGACCGGTCTCCGGTGGCGTTGGGCCAACCGAATGACCAACCGAATGACAGCCCCACATCACATCCATCAGTGAGGTCACTGATGAGAAGCCTGATGGCCAACAGCGCCAAGCTCCAGTTGGTGCCAACTACAAGGTTGGGCAGTATCTACATGTCATCATCTAGATAGTATCTATCCAAGGTGCGTTCTCTCCAGACCTCCGGGATTCTGCAGGCCCAGCCCGGCCGACCGCCTGGGAGGTGCAGTTCCATCTCGTCCCCGAGCACTTGGCCTGTCATGGCGCGAACGTCCTGCGAGGGCGGGTGAGGCTGGGGGAGGATGAGGTGAGCTATGTTGAGCTATGAGCTGAGGTAGTTACCCTGTAAGTTCAGCATATTACGTATCATTGGACTTCTAATTTTATGCGCAATCAAATCCCAGTTCATGGGCCAGTTGAGTTGGACGGAGATGGGTGGTTGACATGGACATGACCAACTTTGTCAGCCTAGAGTCCAGTCTTTTGAGTTTTTTGAGTGTGTCTCAAGTCGAACAAATCATAAGGCGGGTTGCAAGGGTCAATGAGCTCAGCCACCCAGCAGAAAAGGAGGTCACTCATCCTGGACCCTAACGGAGGGTTAAGGATTGATATTTTAAACCTTTTGCAATCTGCACAAAGTGATTTCCACATAAAGGACGACCTTGATTTGGGGCCCAGTGGCCTTCTTGATCTATGGCTATCAAGTCCAAACAAGAATCGACAATGTTTGTCAATCTCTGTGCAGAAACAAAACAAGGGACATGACGCCCCGTCTGAGTCTTTGCTCGACCAACACGAGTGCTACTCTTTCTCCATGGTAGTGGTGACCATGAAGGAAGGAAGTCAGGCAAATGTGGCTGTGGGTCAAGAACCTCTAGTTTCCCAAACCGATTATGGTGAAGGAATAATGACCAAACCATATGTATTGGCCTGCAAACCCAGGTGATACCCACGCGGCTACCTCCCTCCCTAGCTGTTTACAATAGTTTGCCAAAATAAGACGCTGGAAAATATGCTAAGAAGGATCAACCAATGCAAACGATCTGCAGTACACTATTTTCATCTATTGTCCAACGGAACAGAGACATGCCAATATTGGTGGGGACTCGGTGCGGTGTTTGCTCAATGGGGCCTGCCGAAGATCAGGCGATAATTGAATTGACCCAAGCATGGGACCTTTTGATATAGAGAGAGAGAATAGGAAAATACTCGAATTCCACTTTCGGATTCCGCCCAGCCTTGTTCACCCTTTTTCACTTCACCCCATCCCCTCTCCAAACGTGCCCGCACCCACCGTGACCCTCCTCGCCCTCCCGTCGACCCATCTCCTGCGTGATGCCGCCCGGCTCCTCTGGAGCCACCCGCGTGCCACAGAGCGAGTCCAGTAGTGTGGTCTTCCCGTGGTTGATGTGGCCCAACCTGGACGCGGTCTCGACCGACCGAGCCTCGAAGGCTTAGGGGGCCCGGGAGGGGCGAACGCGGGAGACCGCGCAAGCGGGATCGTTGTGGTGCAAGCAAGCAAACAATGGTGTGGAGCGCCAGAAAGCGAGTGTGGTGGTTCAGAGGTCCATGGGCTGATGGATATAGCATCTATAATAAATCTATAGGTTAATACAATATCCTCCATGGGCTGTGTGTGTCCAATTGTTAGCACTCCACATCAGTCCTGACTGCAGAATTTTTGGCCACATCACGGCCAGCCACGCTTCGGATTCAGCTCGCCGGGAGGAGAACGGGAGAACGGTCACCGACGAATGGACGAATCGTGATTAATAACCCCCGTCCTGGCCGCGGTCTTGTTACTAGTAGCTATTTGCTCCTAGTAACGATGCCAGGAGCCCCTAGTAGCTTCTTGTTACTAATAGTACGGCCAGGAGCCCCTAGTAGCGTCCGATTGCTCCTAGTAGTAATGCCCTTGTTCTACAATCTTTGTGGTTGCTTTTCTCATTTTGATCCGTGTGCAGCTGGTAGAAGGGGCTTCGTGTCTACAGTGGCGTTCGTTTTTCATCACGCCTTAACACGGGGCTTCGTTCGACATCCGAGCGAGTGGGGTAGAAGAGGTTCTACATGGTTCTATAAATCTAAGGGGAGACGGCACTGATCACTTTGGGATTGCTCTAACTCCCTAAAACGAACTCCCTCACCCCTCTTTTGAGATGCCAAAACACATATATTGTCAAAAAAGGGTGTCTCTTGGCGACCGCATGCGTGGAGTAGTTGACTCAGCTGTTCTGCGTGGAGTAGTTCATCCTGAGCTCCAGGCACGACCACCACTGGGATCGCCTTGGGATCTGCCACAGGCGTCGGCCAATCGGGCTCCACATCCACCTGGGCCGAGAACAGGGAGACGTTGATTCATTGTCATGCAGGCAGAAGCGGAAGCTTGCACCTGAGATCAAACCTCATTCTGATTCATGTTATGGTTTAGTGGTAGATCAGGTAGATCTGTTCTATCTAAGGTGTACCCACTAGTACTACTAGTACCCACTTCAAATATCATCAAATTATGTATGTTATATAACTTAATTCTCTAACATTCTCTATGGATCTCTATGGGCTTCAAGTTTTGTCTCACATCTTCTCACCCGGACAACTGCTAGGACTCTCGACGCCTCTCTCCGAACGATGGGAAACAGGAGAGGACGAGGTGGCGACGGTTTTTCCTCATATTTTTGGGGTTGGACAAAACCAGCACCCTACAAAATCTGGTTTGCAGTGAAAGGCATGTGTTGAGTCCATACCCAAAAATTACTGCACCCAAGTAGTACCAGTACAACAGTATGATAATTTAATAGGAAACAAGATATATAATCCAACTCAACCTGAGTTGCTATTGCTTATATATTTGAGAACACGTGATTCCTTTAAGTGATGAGTAGTCTGCTTGATGCGCTGGTGGAGCAAAAACAGCGAACAAATCCAAGTAGGACAAATCCCATACTCGACTGCCTCAACTGCCGTCCGAGTCCACTTTCTGGAAAGTTTCTGCCGGGCCGCCAGCATGGACTGGTAGCCGAACTTCTGCAGTGGGTAGGCCACCATGTCAAAGGGCAAAAGGACCTGCCCCGTCGTAGGAATATCGTCGTCATAGTCATCTGTCGAGGAGGGAGATACAGTAAAATAAGTGGCAATCCAACTACTGTATGTGGGCATCTCTCTGTTGCTTACATTCATGTTCAGTCATATTATATCATATTATGTAATTAAAAGAGGCTGCAAATGAACAGTTCTCAGCACTTTCTCGGAAGGGCACAATCATGTAGGAAACAAAAAAGAGCACAATCTTGAATTCCAACGTAACATCCCCCCTAGAACAACTCTCTGTCCGGTGAGCCCACAAATGAATGCTGAACCTCAGGTTCTGTTTGCTTCTATGACCAAAATCCACTCCCGGACGTACACCTTCACGCCGCCCCACCTTCCGTTTGGAGGCCGACTCGAACTCGCGATTCTGGAAGTCCTGTCGGGATGGAGCCATCGCCGAGCTGGGAGACCCCCTGGCCCTGGCTGGGTAGACTGGCGTATGTTCATTCTTCCATGGGGTCGAACTGGCAGGTCTCAGATGTCTCAGCTAGGTCTTCCTACCTTGATACACACCAAGTTTCGGCCACGAACATCGACGCCAAGAAGACTTTACAACTGCAGCGGTGTTCAGGGATTGTTAGTTTGAGGGAGTGTGTGTAGGGATACTCCCAAAAAAAGAACATGAAAAGCGCGCTTTTCGGCCTACCCGGTGGGTTAAACCAACCATCCAAAACATCTCCGCCATCTCCGCCACTGGGGAACGCCACGCAAACCGCTTTTCAGCGGCGCCGGTTGTGAATCAACAGGCAAAGGCAAAGACTTCAAACCCGTGGCACAAGTTGAGTGAATGGATCGACTGAATCTCAATTAGCGCAATCATCAAATCCTGCACACGATCTCCTCGATGTTTTCCCGTTCCGGGTCCTTCCAGTAGTACTTCCCGTTCATCGAACCTAAGCGGTCGTAGGGCAGGGTCGGGGTGGGTGGGTCGTGGTGACGCCATTTTTTCAGGTCGAAGACATGATGGATGGTGGATGTTTGATGTTGTTTAACATGTACTTCAGAGAGCGAGCAAATGACGTAAGTGGCTGCAAGTGGCTGCAAGTGGCTGCAAAACAGAAAATCAACATGCGCACCTCCTACGAGCTCAATGTACTTTGTGTAAAAGCATGCAAGTACAATAAAACTTGACAAGTATATACAACGGTATATAACGGATGAAGGAAGTCTCAACATTTAAAGGAGTTGAAAGGCATCATACAGCATGAGGTCTCGGTCTCTCATATTCACAACGCTCAGCACATGCCAAGTTCTAGATGGTCTGGGAAACAAGTTCATGGATGGCCAAACAGTATATCAGGTCGTGAGTTGTAGTAATGTTTTCCTTCGACTTGGAGGTATGTAAAATCCGTGTGCCAATACAATGGCGGAGAAACCTCGTATAAGAATCAAGATGAAGTGATTCCGGTCACTGTGATGAAGTCTCTGATTCCGGGCGCACGCACGACCGACCTGTCCTTTCTCTTATTGGGCTGCCGCACGGACACCTAAAATGCGCATGGTGTTGGCATAGTCCAGCCTGGTGCTGGACTGCTATGCCATATGCACAGCGGCCGTCCTCTGGTTTTGCAGGGAGACCATTTGACGTCATGAGCATTCACTTCTGGCAAATGTGGGAAGATGACGAAGAAGAGGAAGAAGAGGAATAAGAAACAACAACAACAACAACCACAACCACAACCACAACCACAACAACCACCACAACCACCACAACCACCACAACCACAACAACCACAACAACCACAACGACAGCCACAACCGCAACCGCAACCGCAACAACCGCAACCGCAACAACCGCAACCGCAACAACCGCAACCACCACAGCCACAACAACCACAACATCCGCAACACCCACACCCACAACCAAACCGAACAAAGAGAGCATGCAACTAACCAAACAAATGGCCTGACCAGTAAGACAAGAAGCAAAACCCCCACGAAAGGTCCCACGCTTTCACGTGCTCATCCCTTTCATCAGAGCAACCTCTGCGGTGATCCCAAAGCGGCACGCCTGAAGAGCACTCGCAGCTCAGTGGCGGAGACGAAGGGTGGCAGCCTGGTTCGTGAACGAAGGAGTGTGCAGCCAGAGGGGGTCTGAACCTCGTGTAGAAGAAGTGTGCAACCCTTGGGCGTATTGGAAAGGGAGAATGAGACCCGGTTTTGATAATTGAATAATATAGAACACACAAGTACTTCTCCAAGGGATTTCGGTTGAGCAATTGCCAGGTCCAAAACCAGTGGAGATGGTGCGAAAATGACACTGTTCAATTAAGTAGGTAAAAAAAATCACTGTTTCTTGCTTCCAAACTGACCAGGATAAGTTGTTTAACCTTACCAGATTAAAACAGAATATAATTAACAGAACCAACTCGACTCAAGACCCCGACACAAGCCAACCTGGCCCCAGCCATACCCAAGCTCGCCAAGATGGTTGTCTTTTTGTTTGCGCCGAAGGAGCAAGAGGCTGTGGTCTGCATTCTTCTGCGTGGCCCGAAGAGCTTTCGTCAAGGAGGCTCTTGCCACCTTGCGCACTCAAAGATCGATCGCGGGGTCTGGTGACCCCATCTCTGGGAGGATCTCAAACAATGCTTATGGGCCTCGAAGAAGCATCACCTGCCCTTTTCTATGGACCGGTTTAACCCAAGCTCCACCCCAAAATGTCCCGAAACAAGAGTCCCTAGATGTCCCCCATATGGCACGAACCTGGTGTGCCTTGAAAGCAAACCTGCTGTTTAGGCAAAAGGGGTCATATCATATCTCATGGTTTTGAATGGTGACAAGAGGAAGGCCTCATCAGCTTTGCAGTGCAGAATGGCCTGGAAACAAGTCGACCGCCTTCGCATGTCCGTCATGGAGGGGAAGAAGGCGGCTCCAGTCATGGATAGTCAGGTGCGAAGAGATCGACCGTTACATAGTGGACAACAACCCTTAAGAATTCCTCTTTGCCCAAGTCCACCGGTTTCGAAACGGAAGTAAACGAAGAAACGAACCCAACTGGCCTTGCGTGGCACATACACGCAGCCACGGTGCCGTGCCTGGCGGTTTTTTCGGACTTCGGAGATCGGAACGCGCCCGGTTCTGACTGCGGTGGTTCGTCGAAAGTGGCTGAGGTTCACTATAGTGACGTTCTACCACTTCTGCCTCTACCTTTCTTTTGACCTAGTTTCGTGGGTTTTTCAGTGTATGGTTAATCCCTAGGGCTCCAACCATCTCCTCAGGTTCGGTGGTTGGACCAACCCCCTTCGAACCGGAGGTGGGCCAGGAGCCCTAACGTTTGGGATCCGGTCGTCCGAGGTGGGGGGCCGGCGCCCCCGGCCACACTGCGGGGTGTCATCGGGTGTCTATTATCTATAGCCCCTGAGCTGCTTTTGAGGATGGTTAAGGGGTGTCCCAGAAGGCAACCCCACTCTTGTTCGCCCTGGTATGCTTTGATTCGAGGTGAGAGGTATCAGTGACGAAGGTCCCTCCCCTTCGCTGCTGGGACCGGTAGAACTTCACCCTCGCAGCTTGGGGAGAAAAGCTACCCCGCCCAAAGAGGCAGTCCAAACAGACTGCGGAATAGAGAATGTACTGTTCGATAGATTCTGGGAGCCGTGGCTCGTGGTTTTGTGAACTTTGGCGTTCTTTTTCTGCATTAGTTTCTCGGTCAAATCAGCCGGGTTGTTGTGCGAGAAAGGGAAGAGACACACCAACCCAACCTATGTCAAATCTTCCTGATTCCCTTCTCGAATTTGTCTCCTTCAGCGGATCATGAGTGCTTCCAAGACTCCTTTGCGGCTGCAGCCCTCCCATTGTCCAATCACATGCATGTCGAGAAGACGGACAAGAGTCCATGACAAGTATAGCTCTATACTGTATACTGTATACTCTAAATTGTAAACTGATATGTACATATATAATCTATTATAATTGCACATGTCCGACAGGACATTCACCACCAAACCACCCTGCCACGAATCTGTACCAACTTTTTCGTCTGAGACGCAGGTCGCAACCTCCCGCCACCTTTTCCCCGGTGGTCTCGCCTTGATCCCAAAGGAGCGACTGACCTAGTATTCACCAGATGGGCAGCTCCGGATTTCACGCGCCGGAGTTCACGGGTGGTTCGATGGTGTTGATCGAAAAAGGCGCCACGCCAAACGGCACATAGGATCCCAAAGATTCATGTGTAAAAGCCAAACGCCAAACGAGTGTCTGTTTTGTTCTCGTGCCCAATGGTACCCGATGTTTGAAGCTTTTGTTCTGGGGTGACTTGGTGACCCCGCCGATGTCGCTCTCAAGTGTGTGTGTGTGTGTCTCAACCCCTGTGCCTAAGGGATTCCACCTCACGGTTTGCTTGTTGAAGTTCACTTTCCGCAGGGGGATGGAGAGGACATGTGAGGCTCCATCCAACGAAGCTCCTCACATGATCCTAGGATATCGGAAACTGTTGCTCAAGTTTTTCCACTTTCGATTTGATTCATGGTGGTTGCCCATGATTTTCCTCCACCAGGTGTTTTCCTTCCGCCGCTTTCAGCTGCCGCGCATTTCTGCAGACACGTGAACAATATGTTAAACTGCTCAAGTGCGCCGACTTTTTCACCTTTCCGTTCCATCGCCTTCCTTTCACCTGGGAACTGAGTTAACGGAAAACCAATGTCAGAGTATGAACCGCTCAGTCGTCCCACTTGGGTGCTGAGTGTGATCCCCGTCACTGGGGCGCTGAATTCATGCCGGCAATCGTGTAACAGCTTTTCCTCTTCCACCATTCCTTGCATCTTCTTAACAGCTTTAGTTTCACTACTGAATTAACTGCTTATATGCCGCCGGGCTTTCACGGCACAACCTTCAGATTGAGCTGATTGCAATTTTTTGGAATAGATTGACTGACTTCAGATTCCATCTTTGCAGTACGCCTTTATTTTCAAGCAAGTATGTCTCACGCACTCCACCATGATCACAGTTCGCTCAGCTACACCAATTTTCACACCATGCTCTTTTCAGGACTTGATTTGATACTCTCCCACAGCAGCTGCTGCAGCCGAGGAGCTTGTCAAGTTATATGTCCTAAAGGGACACAATGCCAAAGAGTGCGAGCGCTTTTTGCGAAAAAATCACACGTGCGCCGAAGACGGCCACGTGTGTGTGTGTGTGTGTGTCAACCCCTGCGCCTAAGGGTTTCCACCTCACGGTTTGCTTGTTGAATTTCACTTTCCGCAGGGGATGGAGAGGACATGTGAGGCTCCATCCAACGAAGCTCCTCACATGATCCTAGGATATCGGAAACTGTTGCTCAAGCTTTTCCACTTTCGATTTGATTCATGGTGGTTGCCCATGATACCTTCCCACAAACAGGTTTCCTCCACCAGGTGTTTTCCTTCCGCCGCTTTCAGCTGCCGCGCGATTCTGCAAACACGTGAACAATACGTTAAACTTTTCAAGTGCGCCGACTTTTTCACCTTTCCGTTCCATCGCCTTCCTTTCACCTGGTAACTGAGTTAACGGAAAACCAATGTCAGAGTGTGTGAAACCCTCGGAATCATAGGGAATCCGTTGATTTTGCTTTTGTTCCGGGACAACCCCATGGATGCAGTTGGTTGTCCAACGAAGAGGGCTGCATTCCATGGCTGATATGATCCTGGGACGCTGGGATCACGTACCTGCATGAGTGCTAAAGCTAAAGCTTATTTCCTTATGGTCCCAGGCCACACAGTTTCAGGTAAACTTGGTAGACCCCTTGTAGAACCCAAGGCCTTTCTCTTAGTGATCAGTTACTGACTGTTATAACAGTGTTCATAGGACAAACCCAATGCATATATAAACCATATTATTATAGAACCATATTACAGTGCCTTCCCGAATCCGGCACCTGGAGGTTGGCGAGGAAGCGGCCAGGGCCTGCAGGCCCCGCAGTTCGGCCCCGCTTCGCGAAGATACCGACGAGTCTGAAAAAATGACCATGCTTCAGACTGCAACGAGGGCCCAAGAGCCGAAGTGGAGAGATCTTCGGATGTCTTTCGGATGGAGAAATCCAGATGTCTTCTTTTGGCATGAGGACCCGGACCTGACCACCAACGAGCACCACCTGGGACGTGAGGATGATGCCTTTGCATGTGAAATAAGAAGAGACACATAAAAAACCCCTTACAGCACAGATTCCATGTTTGTTCTCACTAAGATTCACTAAGTATACTGCCTGGGTGAGGTCGTTGATCAACTCAATTCAAGCATGCAGCATGCACATGTCATGGCACTCCATCGCCCCGTTCGAACCGCAAACATGCATGGCGGGTCGACAGGTCGATGGCAATGGGAAGCTGCCCCATCCCTCTGGGCCATCAAACCTTGTCCAAACCAATTCACACCCCAAAAGCATCACATGGAAGTGGATCATTCGTCACGTTCCAAGGCGGGCGACTTGAAGGAGTACCAACGAAAAGCTAGGGGGTGCCTTCCACTTCCATGTGTTCGTTGGAGGGTAGAGTTTATGATCAGATCGAAGGTGATGGACTCCAGCAACTACCGGTACCGGCATGTTGCACTATAGAGCGAAAGCCTAAGAGGACCAATCATTTCCCTCCTGAATACATCCTTTTCCAAGTGAAGAACGTCCAGGCATTGATACATGGCCGGCCGCACACTTGGTTCAACCAACACGGACATTGAGTCTCCGGGAGATTTGGACCAGAAAAACCGAGCGAACCACAAAAAGGGGGTCTGGACTGGGTGGAGTCGGCCCCTGTCCACCAGTCCTTAAAAGAGAATGTCCTAGAGGGGTCAGTCTTGGGGTCGATCTGGTACCACAATTGGTTTTGGGTCTATCCTAATACCAGCAACAGTGCATGGATGATAATGATAATGCTTAGGTTGAAGGCCTTGTTCAAGAATAGTCATATCTTCTTGTTTACTGACTGTTACAGGCTTACTGGCACAGGCCCAATCTTGGGTTCTTCACTTGGGGGTATACCAAACGGCCATCTGATTGGTGTGAATAACGGTGTCCTGGAAGCCGAAAGCTGCTCAGGAGGCTCATGGCAAGGAGCAGCCGGCATTGCAGGCTGGGCAGTACTCGGCGAGGCTCCAGAACAGCGAGGAGCGCAGGGCGTTGTTCGAAGATGGGTGCTGGAGTGTAAGTGGCCTCAGGTTTTGAGGCACCTGCCGCTGCATTACTGGGTGCTGGATTTGTTTGATACGATCTGTTAAATTTGGACCGGCGAAAGAATGACCTTGCATGAGACCGAAAGAAAATGTCTACTGTAAGCTTCCAACTATGAACTCGAATCTGTCTCAGGTAGCTGGCTCTCTGCCAAATATCCAGAATCTTCCAAAACTGGCTGCCCCTCCAGGGTTGTGCACGTACCTAAATATCCTGGCATATTGTTTAAACATAGTCACCTCAACAACGTTCTGATCATTGGCCCTTCGGCGCTGACGGTCAGCTTGGGACATGTTTTCGACGGTCAGCCAGCTGACTTTGAGCCGAACCCGTTTCTTCAGAAGAAGATCCCAACGCAACAACCCTCTGGGTTCAGTGCGGATCAGAGAGTCACCCATCCCAAACCCAGGATGAGGTTCAAAGAATAGACCAGTCTTCCCAGCCAGGGCCTCAGGGCCAGATCTCCGTGTTACAATATATGAACCGCTTCCGCATGCACTGAAACTGAAACTCCTGTGAGATGCAACTTCGACATCCATGGTCGACTGACCCCACACAGGCCGAGAGGAACCTCATGACTTAAATGGATCCACATGCTACTCCCGATGCTGACAACCTTGAGAATGCTGTCTGAATCAGACAGCTTCTATAGGGTCTTTTGGTCCTTTTCGCCGCAGGTGCCAGGACATGCTGGTGCCAAACGTCGCGTGGTCGGGCCACGCCACTCGGAGAACTGGTGAAAAAGCACAAGTGACTCTTCAAGGTGATGTTTGACGGGAGGAGGAACATGGTGGAACGTCCAGGTTCTACCTGATTGATGATATGCATCTCTCGAGAAACTCTGGAGATATAAATAGATATTAATATATTTAATATAAAGGAGACTGATGACTGGTTTGGTTTAGCTATGAAGACCACTTAAGTTGGAGATAGATATATACCAATAGTATCAGAACTGTTGAACACATGTCGAACACCCTAGTGCATGCTAACACCCGAAGTCTTACATGTGTGAACCTCGACTTCGCACATCAACAGGAAAGAACAAACTCTGCATATGACTCAACAAGACTGACCAGTTGACGTCGGCCTTCACGGTAGAATGGCGGACTGGTGGACGGCTCCAGGTGTCATACCCTGCCATCACCGCCAACCACACATCTTTTTTTTTCGCCATCGGAGCAACACGCAGGTGACCGAAGTCACGCAAAAGTGTTCGAAGCCCCATGGGACAGGGATGGTTTGCCAGAAGTGCTTCGGGGTAGCAGGTGGATGGCGAGACTCCGAGGTCGCAAACTGGGGAAGATCTCGATTTCTTCAGCCACAAGATCTCGATGCTTGTAAAGGCGTGTTGTTTGAAGCATTCCATGTTGAACACACAGTGTCTTGAAACAACACCCTCACCTTTAAATCCGCCCGCACCGATTGTGCTCAGGGCGTGAGATGGCGTGAGCATCCGGAAACAACTGTAAGGTAAGGTACAGGTTTACCTGGGGGCGTGCATTTGTGGTCAAAAACAATGGGTTTTTGATAGGTCGCGATGGCGGACTTCAGACTTCAAAAGAACACTGTTTTACAGCACCGAATGGACCAGTTTGTGCATGCGTCCGCCTGGAACCGGCAAGAGAAAACTTTGAACAAACCTGTGTTTTTTGACTTTTGGTCTTCGATTTTTGGTTTTGCGACGCGTTTATTTTTTAATGTGTCTTGTCGGGAGGCCGGGGGGGGGGGCAGATTTTGGAGCTGTTTGGGTGACGGTTTTCGACTTTTTTGTTGGGCAGAAATTGATGTTTGCAGTGTCTTTGTACTTTGCTGAGGCTTGACGTCTTTGCGCGAAAATGCAAATTGCAAATAGCAGTGTGTTTGGCGACCATGTTGTTGAATACGTCGCAAGTTGCGGTGCTTTTTGACAGCAGGTTCAAAAACACTGTAAATAGCGGTGTTCTGGGCCACGACAAGCTCAAAAACATCGCTATTTGCAGTGGTTGCTGCCTCACAGAGCATAAAAACACTGTGAAAATACGGTACATAGTGGTGTTTTCGGTAACGTCAATGGCAGCATGATGAGCCCTTGTGATATATGGTGATGAATGAAGATAGCGCATACTTCATCATACTTCTGGAGTATTACCTTCTATGATCGTTATTGCGTCATGTCATCACTCATCCGACTCGCTATTGACCATGGCAGCGTATTTTTGACTTTGGTCTTCGATTTTCGGCTTTGCAACGCGTTTCTTTTTTCCCGTGTGTCTTGTCGGGCGGCTGGCGGGCCAGATTTTGGTTTGGGTCACAGTTTTCGCCGTTTTTGTCGGGCAACTGTTTCATGGCAGTGCGGGCGGACCTTGCCGCGGAGCGGCGTGAATACGTTTAACAGGAAAGGAGCCGTGCATGGCAGGGAGATCACCCCATCTGCGACTGGACACAGGCGTCTCATCTCTTCCCCTGCACTCCAAATCCCCTGCCATCCCCATATCTGATGCTCGAGGAATTCAGCCGAGTGCATGAGGAGCGCAAAGAGGCCAGGCAAAGCTGTGAAGGACACTGCGAACAAAAGAAACTGTGCAGGTCTGGACCACATGGGGATGGGTCAAAACCTGGAGCCCCAACACCATGTAGCGAACGACCTGCCAAGCAGGTCAACCAAGTTTTGACCCATAGCCACATCTGCAAGCAAAGACCAAGTAGCGGATCAGCGAGCATAGGGATCAGCAAACATGGGTCTCATGGTGAGTCTGTTGGTCTATTGTCTGTGGTCGCATATTCGATCTTCACCCGACAAGCGTGCCAAACAATTCATAACATGGCAGGGTTGATTCTCTGAATATGAACATCGAACCAAACATCCTAAAGGTAGACCCCAATCAACTGAGGCCTTTTTCCTCATACAGATCCGTTAAACCTGTTTCAATTGTCAGGTTCCACGAGGACTCTCTGCCGAAAACCGGGAGAGGGACGAGATTCCTGTTCAGCCTTCAGGTTCGTCGTATGGGCCTGCACGTGATGCGACGAGCCAAATCCCTACTGAGCAAGAATGACATTGGGCCACACCCTGAGACAGTCTAGTCGTCACATTGTCAAAAGGAGATCCTTCTACACTTCTACCAAGACAAAGTCAATACTGGATTTCAGAAGGCAGTGGGTGAGTCTATGAACCATTGATATCGTTCAATTGATATCGTTCAGCCTTGAACGCTGCTGATAGGAGTTGTGGCAGTTGTGGTCTTTTCTTGTCCCGCCCCGCCAACCTCAATACGCCCCTGCAGCAGGGACTAATGCCTATGCAATTCATGCAAGGGCAGCTGTCCGACCGGGCACGTGCTGTGAGGGTGAGCAAGAGGCAGCGCTTTCATTCACCACTGGTGAGTATCCTTTTGTTTGAATGCAAGGACACTCGAAACTAAATATTACAGTATGTGACATTTTGTCGTGTCCTTTCATCCAATGAATTCCAACGGCATACTTGCAACATCTTGCAACCAAACACAGATTTATCATGATTTATCCGAGCAAACCCTGGCCCCTACAGTACTATACGAATCTTTACAGAAGTCTTACATCACTGGGGTGTGGTGTCTGCCTTCTCAAAGCAAGGCTGCCTTCACGGATGTTTGTTCCCAGCAGCTCTCGGGTGGAACGCGTTTCCATTCGGGAAGACCCGGCAGGATCGGGAGGCTGTTTGGCAGGATCGGAGGCCCAAAAGGTGAAGCGGTGGAAGCATGCAGATAGGTTCATCACCCTCAGCCTTCAGTTGCCCTGACGGACGCCCTAAAATTGTCCCAGTGCTATGCTGGAAGACGAGCCAGACATGCCTTCTGCGTGTCGCTCTGATACCTGTCGTCTTCTTTTAGCGCTCGATACGCGTCGCAAAGGCGCTGACGAACAGGGTGCGTGCAAGGGGAGTCCGGCCCAAGGCCGCTCCAGCAATTCTGACCGTTCCGCCGCTGTTTGGGCGGGGTGGCAGCGCTAAGTCGGTCGTTCGGGGTCCAAAGCGTGGTGTGGCTACCAATGACTTCAACACCTTTCAATGTGAAGTTGTCTACCCGGGGCGCCCCACTCAGATTTCCTGCCTGAAAACCTACCAAACGGTCATGGAAAATAGATATAAAGACTAAGACTCTCGCTATGCAATCAGACCTCCACCACAACGGCAATGGAGACCTGGACTGGAGACCTGGGCACGGCCCACTGAGTTCTTTCGCGAAAAACACGGCGCGTTGGCTGGATCAGGTGATTCCCGCCCGCACACGCACGCACACGCACACACACCGCTGAAACTATGTTTATAGTTTATAGTGTAAACTAAATCATACCATAATTCAAAATCAATGTGACTGAGTGAAGTTGTTGTATGTTTATCTCATATTCTTTGTCATATGGGCCCAAGTTGTCAAAGATCCGACATGCTTGTTCAGAGGATCCCGACTGGAAAAGCATTGCCGCACCCTGCCGCCCTGCTGGCGATATCCAACTCAACCCCCAAAACAACGCAGCCAAAGAGCAAGTGGTGTTGAGTCCCCACCTGTCAGGTGAGGGTTGTTCGGTTAGATTTTATGTCAGCCCTATCTCCTCCTCGTCCTCCTTCTCCTCCTTCTCCTCCTCGTCCTCCGCCGGACCTCAACCACGACCATCCACGCCCAGTGTTCCCCGCCGGACCTCAACCACGACCATCCGC